CAAGCTTGCGGGTTCTAGGGGCAGAAAGATGGGAGACACAGTTGCGCTGCTGAGACGTCCTGTGGACATGAGGCTTGGTCAGTTTGAGGGCATATTCAGATCAGTCATTCTCATGGTCCTAGGACATCACTTGTAGGCTTACGCCACAGGAGCGAAGGAAAGAAGACGCCTGAATGACAATCGACGCCAGCAGAAGACGCAAGCCTTGGCTTCACGTGACACTTCCAAATGCCATTTTTATTTTCTTCCTTTTGCAGTTGAACACTCTTTGTTGCGCAGGCCATCCAAACGAGGGCACTATAGTGCAAAATAAAAAAAAGTGATATATGAAAAAAATTTGCAGACATCGTTTGCTCTTACTATCATCAACAATCAAGCAGTAGAGCATCTATTACAGCAGATAAAGTTCCATGCCCTCAACCCCACTTTCAAGACGAAGTAATGGAGTGAACAAGGAACATAGATACCACCGGCTGTATATTTTGCTGTCACCCACCACCTACCTATACCTATTGGTAAACAGCCACTCTGTGCTCTCAGTCATGGCTCCGATAAGAGTAATGGTGTGTGAGGCCTTTATATAATGAAGCGGAATCTGTTTCGAGTTCACAGCAAGAGCCGATTCTGGCACCATAGTTATACGCTGCTGCCAACACTGTTGTCAATAATAGCTATTGTGAAGAATAAGAGAAAAATCACAGAACATCTACGAAGTGAATAAGGATAAGTGGGCAAAACTCCGGTGGATCATTTGGATAACTGTGAGTTGCCTGTACATTTGCCCCCTCGAACATGCACATAGAGACGACACAAAAAACAAACCACTCTGATCATCAGCAGCACTGTGATGGCACGAAACTGTTCATTCTTGATGCTTGCAATCTTTGTCACATTGTTGTCGAACCACAAGTTGGGAGACATAAACCTTGTAGCCATGTCCAAAAAGTTGGAGAAGGAATTCGCGCTTAAACCGTGCTACAGCGCTATCAACTTCAGGTAGCGACCTCTTCAGGAATTTCGCAGCCGCTTCCCGCACTCTCCTCACTTTCCCGGTCCACTTGCCAGCACTGCTGTCTCACTGCAGCTTTGCGAGCCTTCAACTGTAGCTCGGCTTGCTGGCACTGACGTTTCGCTGCAGCTGCACGAGCCCTCGCCACTACCGAATTGGCTTGCCGACACTACCGTGCCAAGCATGTGTATTTTTTTATGTGTATTTTGTTTGTGCTATTTGGCACTACCGTGCCAAATAGCACAAACAAAATACACATAAAACATTTGATATATCTATCAGGTAACTCGAATAACGAATAGTGACATAGTGGGTGCTTCCCTACTTCATGAAATTTACTATGGGTATTTCTTTCCCCAACGGGTCTGGGAGGGACACTCTTGCACAATTTCCAAATGAGTGTTTGACATCATCAGCTAACACTTGATCATGAAGGCCATGACTGGAGCAGCAATGAGGCTGGCTGGCCATGGCATCTGTTGCAGCATGCAGCAAGTTTTATATACTTACTGGAAAATGCAATCAAACCCAAACAACACTTTTGCAGCGACAAGTTTGAGTACAGGGTCTATATTTCTATAGCTGTGTTTCAGGTGCAGAAAGCATTCTTTTTTTTACGTCATTCACAAGTGACTACAAAGGTGATTGAATGACCATAAATTTATTTACCATGTTCAATTATTTCATATCATAGATAGTGTGAAAAAAGATGTAACATTTTTGAAGTATTAGTAAGTAGTTGTGATGATGCTTATCTCGGGCAGCTACATCGTATAAATGTGGAGCTATGCGTAATAAGACTAAGCTTAATCTTCTAAATAAACAAAATCATCTTCACACATTAATTAAGAGTACCACAACAGTTACTGCTGCACAAGCTTTGTTTCTTATGCTTAATTCTGCAAACCAGGCATAACCTAGCGTCATTTACCTACTATAAATATTCCTGATGAAGTGATATTCATTACGAGTTGTGCAACTGCTGAGTCGTGGCATGGCATAGTAGTAGAGCTAACGTTTCATGACAGAAATTGAAGTTAACAAGAATTATTTTCTATCTGGCATAGACTCCATGAAAATGACAGATCATTGAATAAGTAAACCTCCCATTTGTAGAATTTCTTGAATAGCAGGCTATTTTTTATTTATTTTTATTTATAACATACAGCAGACCAGAATTCGGTGCTTGCAGGAAGGGCACTCATAGTACACTAAAAAAAAAATACAATACCAAAATACCAATACAGTGAGTAAAAGGAATGCACAAATTTTTACATTCAACTTAGTAAAGGCACTCAGAATGCGTACTATAAAAAAGAAAAAAAATGCAGTACTGTAGTTACAACAGAAGTAAGCAAAATGAAGTAAAACATACAAAATGGAAACACAACACCTAACGCGTGTATTATGGTAACTTAAAAAGGGTCATTCATTATATGCCCAGAATTCCACTCCTAACAACGTGAGCAGTACGTTACAATTGATGGGCACAGCTCGGGCTATCTGCCAGTCACTTAAGGTCTTACCCAAGGCAGTGTCTGAGGTACCATTGATTTTTCTTTTATATATTAACGAAATCACGATTATCACCACACCTGGTACTCGAATAAGACAATTCGCAGATGACTGTTTTGTTTTTCGTATAATTATGTCTGTTGAAGAACAAAGGAAAACAGACACCAGCCTGAATAACATGTCCTTGTAGTGCAAAAAATGGGGCATGGCAGCCAACACCGACAAAGCAGCCTCCCTTTGCATAACTCATAAAAAATCCCCTCGATTACGTATACAAATTAGGGTCTGTTCCATAAAAACAAGTTAATAATTATAAATACCTAGGCATAACCTTCACCGACAATTTTTCCTGGAACCGTCACATCGAAAACACATGCTCTACTGCATTCCACAAACTAGCTTATCTGCAACACAAACTTAGAATTCCCCTTCAAACGTTAAGTTACTCACTTACCTAACTTGTATTCTGCAAAACTAGAATATGCCTGCGTTGAATGGGATCCGTATACTAAACTGAATATAGACAAACTCGAGAGAATACAAAAAAATGCAGTTTGTTTTATTTATAATAAATACAAACATTCAGACTCGCCGTCCCAACTAATGTTGGCTAATGATATTCCTTCTGTTCCGTCTGGCATTAAGAAGTACCACCTGGAATTTTTACATGAGCTGATTAACCACAAACTCAACCTCGACCATTCGCTTTATGTAAGTCCCCTTTCCACAAGGGAACACAGCACCATTGCTCTGATGCACTAACACCCACCTATGCCAGAACAGAAATGCACAAGTTTTTCTTTTTTCCCCTGACCGTTTCAGAAATGAATTTTCTGCCGCCACTTTAGAACCTGTGAGAATCTGCTTGAAATGTACCTTTCTGCATATTTTCATGAACATCATGTTAAAATACTGTTACATTCCTTTGAAAATATATATATATTTCAAAGCATATATATATATATATATATATATATATATATATATATATATGAATGTATGTACTGTTTTTTTTTGTAGCTATATATGTTTAGTTGAGTGTACAATCATGATGTATGCCAGTCCTGCAAAGACCACGATGTGGTCTGCAGTATGTACTAAATAAAAAAAATTTAAAAACAAGCATTCTTTTCAGCCTATTCAACATGCCCAGTAAATGCAAATAACAAGGAAGTTTTCGAATAGGGGCTCCAAAACCCTTTGCATGTGCTTGCTTTGGGTCAAGCAGGAGCGATGAGCTTTCGAATAGACTATGCGGCGCTTCGAACAGTCCCCCTATTCTATGTCACTGTGGTCTTGGTCGAGAGTTGTCACTTCAGTGGGTGCCTTCATGTTTGACCCAGAATCTTTTGGGGCAGGCTTTGGGGCTCCCACTTAATTCGAGGAATAGCATCCCCAACCCAAGCCCTGTGCATGTGCAGTGGCCATGGTGCAATTTTTTGGGGGCCTCTATTTGAAAACTGTCAACAATATGAAAGAATTCAGGACACCTAGGTGCTGGTTATACAGTTTTCACTGTTTCTGATTATGCAGGTCCTATCCTGTATGCTAGACATGCCAAAGTTTTCTAAATGCAACAAAACTCAGCTGTAGTGTCTGACGTCGCAAGGTCTGTGAAACTATATTTGTTAGCAAATGCAGAGTTGACACATTGAGATATCTGATGCTGTCAAAATGAACAGCTAGGTGTCATATAATTAAGCTGAACGCCCCTTAAAATCTAAACATTCTGAACAAGCTGATTTGTCAACAAATCACGATTCTTTCTTTTTATGCTGGCTTCGGCGGCGGGGCAGCAAGAGATTTCGTATCGAAACGGGGTGCATGAAATAAATTGACGCCAGGCTTTCCGAATGACAGCTGGCCGATTAAAGGGAGACAAATATTTTCTGGAAGGCCTGCATGTGGCAAATGTGCACAGCCACGTGGCTTACGCACATGGATATTGGATAGTCTCGCCGCGGTTGTCTAGTGACCAAGGTACTCGGCTGCTGACTCGGAGATCACAAGATCGAATCTCGGCTGCGGCGGCTGCATTTTCTATGAAGGAGGAAATGCTGTAGGCCTGCGTGCTCAGATTTGGGCGCAGTTAAAGAGGTGGACGAAATTTCCAGATCCCTCCACTACGGCATATCTTATAATCATACTGTGGTTTTGGGACGCTAAGCCCCACATATCAATCATGGAAGTTGGACAACTGCAAACTGCAGTATTTGACACGCATAAACAGCTCGGGTCGCTTCTGAAGCAAGCGCTCAAACGGCGCATTTTGCCAATGAACACGATCCAGCTTTCATTCTACGCAGCCGGCGTGCCCCCTCGATTGCAGCCTTCAAAAATCGTGCAGCGCATGTAGTCAATCAACACCGCGTAATCGTGGGCATAGGAGAACACGGTCAAGCACGCACACAAAAAAGGAGAGAGGAAACACCCTCCGTCCTTGAAAAGTGATGAGCACAGCGTAGTACTACTTCACCTTTCTTCATGTCGAATATAACCCAGATAATACGGCAAACGATCTATTGGTTTACTTCACAAAGACTCTGCAACCGCAATTACTGCGCGATGAGCGAACACAGGTGAATTCGGAACAGCAATAGCAGGAACTAGAGGTGCCGTTGGGTGGATGGACAGTTGGATGGATGACTGTGGCTGTACCCTTTAGATTGGGCGGCGGCTACTGCCACCTAGCCGTATACTTAGTGAACTAACCATTACATTTATCTTTTTTTTTTTTTCCTTTAAATAGTCAGGTTGAGGATTCGTATTTTGCAGTTAAGGGTTTAAGTTTCACTCGTGCCTTGACTTAAGCCACCAGTCATAACCTGCTTCTAGTTAATTCTACCCGCTTAAAGTCGATATTGCCCTACCTGTCCCTAAAACACAATGCTTTGGAAAACTCTACGCCATCACCCTGAACTATAGGTCGAAGCCCTTTGCAGAACATTATGAAGTGTTCGGCAGTTTCCTCTTCCTCTCCACACGCACTGCGTACCATGTCTACCCCTTCATATTTGGCCCGGTATGTCTTGGTTCGCAATACTCCCGTGCTGGCCTCAAACAGTTGAGAACTACCCCGAGTATTATCATAGATCCTTTCATTGGCAACTTTCTGCTTAAAAGTTCGATAGATTTCTAGTGCGGACTTCTTAATCATACCAAATCTCCACATGTCAGTCTCCGTTTCCTTCACCTTCTTCTTAACCGATCGTTCTTTTGGTTTGGCCCAACTGCTGTTTTCTAAGTATTTATCCGTCCATTTTATGGTTCGCTTTCTCCACTTTGTATTGACATTCTTCTTGTACAAGTAGCTGAAAACCTTCCTAGCCCAACGCTCCTCCCCCATTTCTCTCAATCGCTTCTCAAATTTTATCTTGCTGCTATCTTCCCTGCCCTCAAATGATGTCCATCTCTTATCACCTTGTGCTCAAGGAGGATACATAAAACTTGCTGGAGTGGAAGCCGCCTATGCGCCGCTACGGGAGAGAGTGAAGCCGCGCCGAGCGTGCGGCGGCCATGTTGCCAGTGGCAGAAAAGAGCCGAGCGCTGCGAATTTATGCTTCATCGCGCTGCGGGTGAAGTGACTCGTGTGTTTTTAAAGCAACGAAAACAAGTAATTCTGGTTGTAAATGTTTATTGCGACTTGTACGCAGCCAAGTGGAATGTAGAGAAATCAAATAAAGTGCATATGCATCAAACAGCGATGCCCAAAGCAAACACATCATCGAAAACATAGGTGACCTACTGGTGGTTGAAAATTATTGCTCTTGTCAAAAGTAGTCCCACCTTACTTTTACCTATTCTCGTTTTTTTTTTCTCTTCGTCATGTGTTGTATCCTAACTTTTACGTATTGTTCGGCGATTTGCCTGCACAAACTGTAAACCTGATTATCAAGCGTATCAAAGTCTAGGACGTGCTGCTCTAGTTTATGGAACCAGTTTTTCTCGGAGGAAGCTCATAGAACTTTCAGGATGAGGTGTTTTGCTCTTGACTTCACCGTTGTGATGGAATCACATTCAGCATGTAGCCGCCTCAGTCCTTGACTCCTTTACAGAGGCTAATGACATCTCGCGACGGTGAAACAAGACCACCTCGCCTCTTACATTTAATCAAAGGTGTCAGCTCATCTGAGTGCATGGCTGCTATGCACTCTTCACAGGTATTTGCAGTTCAACCTTTCGAACAATGAAGCCCAGCTGCTATGTATGGCACCACGGAACCGACAAAAGCAGAAAAGCTTTCGGGCTACGATGCGTATTGTCGTGGTCATCGGGCTACAGGACTGGGGCCTTGCGCATGTCAGTGAGATTGCTTCTTGGATCTACCATGGCTGCAGGAGTCGTTGCATTCAATACGGAGAGAACATCTTGGGAGCAGTGTCCAGAACTGGAAGACGTGACTTCCGTCTGAGCCAATCGACGCTTGTATGCAGCCATACATTGAAAAGCTGTTGGGCTGTTGTTATGGCCGCCTCATCCACGTATTGATTCAAAGAAGTTTTCGGGATAGTCTTGACTGAGTTTGTGTGTTAGTAAGTATTTCAGCTGACCCTGGCTGACAAGTCTGTCAAACATTCTTTCCGTGCTTGCCATGCGTATCCAAAAACCAATGAATCCGTTTTTTTTTTTTTCAGTCCTTCTGTCATTGCCAGATCTCGCAGCCCGTTTATGTACGCTCGAGTCTCCACAAAAACGACTTCCAGAATGCTTCGTTCCCCTGCCGAAGGGGCGCTTTGTACTACCTTGCCAGCGGGTTCCTGGAGTTTAAGATGTCAAACAAGCGATCAAAAGTTCTAATAAACGTAGATCTTGTGCTGCCACCCTTGAACTTCGGCAGCTTTAGCTTTTGTTCGCAGAAGTCCAAAGCGTCGGCAACTGAGGCACTCGATCAGTTGTACAGCATATCATACCTTCATTTTCTTGCTTTTTACCATTGGACGTGGACTTTCGGAAGTTTGTTTCCGAGCCACAATCCTTCGTCACGTTTATGTGCCTTCAATGCCACTTCATAACCCCATTTCACATGCGTCCCTTCAATGTCAAAGAGAAAGCACTCTGGCGCGAAGTGCACAGAGCGAAGTGATCTCAGTCTTTCGCATTCTACTTCTCACGGCGAACGGCCCACTCCCAGAGGCTCCGCGTTACGGGAGCTTTAGGAGACCTGTAAAACAAATCCGGACTGTTATGTTTTGCACGCTTAGATCGCGTCAGCTATAGCTCCCTTTAGTAACGAGCGCGGAATAGCTATGTCGAAGACGTTCTCGTGTACGTACAGGTGGAATGTGAGGCCACAACCTTTTTTTCAACCTGTTGGCACATCCGTAAACGACGCAAGAGGCAACCATTGTAAACCATTTGTCTTTACATGCCGACAAAGTGAAACAAGAACGGACGAAATCAGCAGCTCGCGATGACGTTGAGCACGCTTTTTGCCACTGGCAAGATGGCGGCAGCTGGCCTCACTCGCACAACGCCCCTTTCACTCCAACAATTTTTATGTATCCTCCTTGCTTGTACATTGTACTCCCTGATTTGATGTATTTCGCAACTAGAGGTATGCGCCGCGCACAGAGACGTCGGCGCGCCGCCGCTGACAGTTTCTCAGTCATAATGAATGGTCCGGATGGAAGAATGGATTGATGTGGCTGTACCCTTTAGATCAGGCGGCGTCTAGCGCTACCTAGCCGTATTATTTAGTGAACCAGCAACTAATATTATCCTGTTTTTTCTTTAAATAGTGAAGTATAAGACTAGTACTTTGAAGTGAATGGTTTAATTTTCACTCGTGCCTTGACTTTAGCCAACAATCAGATAATTTCCTGCTAGTTAATTCTACCCGCTTAAAGTCTATTATGCCCTCCTTGTCTCTAAACCCCGATGCTTTGAAAAACTCTGTGCCATCATCCTCAACTATAGGGTGAAGCCCTTCGCAGAACACCACGGAGGAAGGAAAGGTAATAAGAGGCCCTGACGTCACTCGTTGTGAAGCCGCGATGAAGCCGGAAGTCGGCCATATTGACTAGGCAAATTCTCCTCTCTTGTTTACACACGAATGCAAAGCAGAAGGCGCGACTCCCTCTCCGGCTCGGAAAGCACGTGGGCTGCGCAGCACGTGTGTCGTGACGATCCGAAACTAATGGAACTGGGCTCATCACTCTGAGCCAGCGGGACACCTTCAGCGAAATCGCTTCGTCCGAGTAATAACAGGGAGTAACAGCTCGCCGACAACGAAGCAACTACGAGAGAACGCGCGCTAGATGCACTGACAACGGCGAGTGCTTTCACGTCATTAATTCAGCAACTGTACAGACAACACGATCGGTCGTGCGTCTTCTACGGTTGCATTCCGCCACGCGGCCGATGCAGCATCCTGCCACTGTGTCCGCGTTCCGCGTGAAACTCACCGGCGTCAGCATACTGCGACCGTTGTAACTTTGAGCACGGTGCAAGTGACACTTGAACGCGGTTGCTGTTACGTTGAGATTACATGCAATGCTGGTGGAGAGTGTACGAAGCGGAACAGAAAAGGCGTTTTAATACGCACATGCCAGTTGTTACTGTACACACACAACACGAAACTACGTATGTGCACATGGTCCTCACGGCGTCTTGCTGGGCTCAACAGCGTCGTCCGTTGTCACACGCAGGAGCACTACTCAACCGTCACTGACCTGCAAGGCGTTCGTCGTCATTCAGCTTCGTCATGGTGCCCAACGCAATTTCGCTGAACACTAACTGCTTCATCCGCGTCATCCGCCGCACGACACATGGATATGCACTTGTTCTACGCACTGTTGAAACCCCGTGATGGACAAAGGGATTTGTAAACGTTGCTAAGAGTAATGTAACAGCCAGGAGAACACTGCGTAACCAATAACGCGGCGCAGAGCACAGATATTGTCCGCCACGGCTCAGCGGAAGACCTGGGGAGGCACACATTCCGCCACCAGCCGCGGCCGCTCACTGCTAGACCAGCTCCACTGCGCAACACGTAACCATAGCAACGCCGCCATTGTGCCTAGTGAATATGGCCGTCATGATGTCATTTCCGCCACATTTTTTACGCCCTGCGCCGGCTGGGCATGCCCTCTCCTTACCTTTCCTTCATCCGTGGCAGAACACTATCAAGTGTTCGGCAGTTTCCTCCTTCTCTCCACATGCACTACATACTGAGTCTACCCCTTCGTATTTGGCCCGATATGTCTTGGTTCGCATTACTCCCGTCCTGGCCTCAAACAATAGAGAACTACCCCGAGTATTATCATAGATCCTTTCCTTGGCAATTTCCTGCTTAAAAGTTTGATAGATCTCGAGTGCGGACTTCTTAATCATGCCAAATCTCCATATGTCAGTCTCCGTTTTTTTTCACCTTCTTCTTAACCAATAGTTATTTTTGGTTTGGCCCAACCTGCTGTTTTCTAAGTATTTATCCGTCAACTTTATGGTTCGCTTTCTCCACTTTGTATTGACAATCTTCATGTACAAGTACCTGAAAACCTTCTTAGCCCAACGCTCCTCCCCCATTTCTCTCAATCGCTTCTCAATTTTTATCTTGCTGCTAGCTTCCCTGCCCTCAAATGATGTCCATCCCATATCACCTTGTACTCTCTGATTTGGTGTATTCCCGTG